GGCGTGGCTGACTCAACTTTTATAAAGAATATCTCTTTGGATTTGAGACTTTAGTCTTTGCAACTTTACAGATCTTCTTTATGCACCAAGAGCTTGTATCACTCCAAAGAGAAAGGAAAAATTTAAATCGCATCATATGACCCCTTTAACAATATCTGCAATACATTTATGTTGGTTCTGTTCTGTTTACCCTGGGGGTTATCGCTGCTCTCCCTGCTCTCATCCATGCTAGGCTGCATGCATGCGCAGGGAGTTCTTGCCCAGAACAGAACCATACCGCCAATCCAAACTGTATGCTAATTGTCAATCATCTTTGACGATAGTGGTCCTGACAGAAATATATATATTTTTTTTTTTACATAAATATCTTATGCACATATGTAGCCATGTATTCAGAACTGGTAGACCAAAACTATTAACTTAAGAATGAATTGTTGCAAAACCCCTATTTGTGCACCAGTACAGTTCTGATTTCTTGTGCATGTTGTTTTTATGATATGCAGACATGAAAGGTTACTTGGCAACTGCAAACACTCACTGTTGTGATCTTGATTGTCATTTCCATGGTAACAGTGACTTCTCTGATTGGTGGTCTTGCTTGAGCATGATGGGTAGTGCAGTTCTTCAACTGGAATTGGGTGGAAATCAGACACATGGCTTCTACAGAGGCATATTTCATCAATTAACAACCTGCTCTCTATTGATTCTTCAGGCAATAGGAATTATTTCTCCAGATGAATTTGGGTGGATTTCATGTGTTAAACATCCCTTTTGTCTTTGTGTTTTACATGCATTAGATCGGCAGATGGTGTCGGCTCATCTTCCCTTGGCCTGGACGCGCAGTTCACAGCTGGAAGATCAGAAATTCATGAGCGTCATGGAGGATCTGGCCAAAAGTTTCCAGCCTCACTAAAGAAACTCGCATGAAACACAACTGCATCACAAATAGATGGAGAACACTAACTAATACACAATATATTTTAACAGTTTAGACACATTAGCCTCACCCATTAAGCCGTGTGAATGTACTCACAGTGTCTCACAACAGACTTTTAGCTGTAGATTAAATGTCCTCCAGAACTCAGAAAGTTTGAAGGTGTGAACGACTGTTATGCTCAATAAATGCTTAAATATGTTTGTCTTTTACCTCAGTGACTACTTCCTGCTTCTTCCTGTTCTACTTCCTTGTACATTTCAGTTCTCTCCTGTCATTGGTCAAATCAAACGCAGGAATCGCTCTTTTCCAACAGCTCGTTCTGACACCATGTGATCAATCTCAGCCAATCACAGTGTGTCCTCACTCTCACTGTGTAGGTGACTCCAGCGAATCAGGTCAATCAGGTGGGAACCCGTTCTGACCGGAGTCACCCCAGCTGTCAATCACTCACTCACAGCCAATCACCTGGTGCAGCACTGGAATCTGACTGAAAAGGACACTTCCTGTTTTTGGAGGCCTGTGATTGGACGTTTCTTTGGTTTGCTAGTGTCACCTGATGTTCCAGAGAATGAGGAAGTGATGTGGAGTTTTTTTTGTGTGTGTGCGTGTGTTTTTTTTTATCTGTATTTGTTCTGATAGTAACATTTGATTACATTTCTACATATATAGACTGGGTTTTTAATTAATTATGACTGTACTTTGACACTTTAATAAATGACTTTGAAGGTGTGTTGGTGTATGTCAGGGTTATTATATTTAACAAAAATCTTTACAAAAAATTAGTTACTTGAAATATAATAAAAAAAGTATTTTAAAACGTATATTTCATGTTTCTAATAATCATTTCTAATTTTCATTTAATTTAAAGTGAAAATGAAATAAAAACTACAGACATGAAAAAACAAAAACAAATTTTAAAAAAGGCAAAAACATAAATAAATTACTAAAACTTCAAAGCAAAAAAAAAAAATCTAAATATTAATAAAACTATAATAATAGCTCAAAGATCCTAAAATAACACTGGTGTGTGTGGTGATTTTACGCACACCCACACACACACACACACGATATACATATATTAAGATTTGCATTATATTTTTATGGCAATTATTAAAAGTTGAATTCTTACTGTAAAATTATATTGTGTGCTAATATTTACCAGTTTTCCATTATCAGTTTTACGAGCTCATGCAATACTTATATGTGAGCGAATGCAAAAGCATTGCAATATAATTTTTTCTTCCAATTTTACAAATTTCCATCACCATTTCCCTTAGAATTCACCGAAAGCGTTAAAAAAATAAACAAAAAAACAACTTTAACATGCAATTTAAATGACCAGAAGAACTACATCTCTTGCATGAGATACAGCTTAGATCTTTATTGTAATATTTCGTTCAATCCGACTGAAACTACAGTCATCATTAAGACTTACGTCAGTTTTCATATTCGCGGCAGAAGAGTTTTATATGAAAAATACAGATGTTTGAACTCAACTTTGTATACATAGAGAGAATAATACTTCATTACTGAACTACTGAAGTAAAGTAAGTTTTAGAAAAAAGCACATAGAAAAACAGGTCTCAAAGTCATTTAGAGTTATTTACAGTTTTAGGGTTTGATCATTAGAAGCGTGTTGAACTTTACAATGTTTTCAACGGCTGAAGATAAAGAAAACAGTTTGTGTGATTTTACATGGTGGTTAAACTGAACCGCGATATCGGCAAAACAGTGTGACTCCCTGAAGCGTCAGTTTCAGTAAAATAGATGTCACGACACATAACTCGCAACAAAATTGACATTAAATCTTTCCGGGATGAATCTCGTGACATTCTTGTCAAATTTCGCGAGATTTTTCCAATTAAACGACACAAAAATGATGTCACACACAACAACGACGTCATAGAAAACCTGCTTTCTGTGACATCACTGCATTCAACAGCTCTTCTTGCATTCACATCCCGTTTGATTGTTTACATTAAATGAGGAAAATGAGGAAAATCATCTTATGAATGGGAATGCAATTATTTACAAAGCTCGGAATGGGACGCATATCGAAACGATCGAAACGAGCACACAGGCACGAACCAGCCATTTAATGCAAACACTCGCACAGATGCCATTTGTACCGTCAGATCACGAACACACACAGACTGTGCAATTCAGTGCAAGGAACAGAGAACTGGGAAAGACAATGAACGAGGGAGAACGACTGAGAGAAAGTCCTGACAGATGAAAAGAACTAAACTAAAGAACTAAAGTAAAACAAACAGCGCTGGTCAGTTATAATGGTTGTAAACAGGTTAGAATTCTCTCTTCTCATTGGCCAATGTGACGTTAGTTGTGAGCTGTGCGTCAATTTCTTCACATGCCACAGCTTGAATCTGAAGACTTTTTGAAAGAAAGAACTATTTAAAGAAAAAGTGCACTCAAAACGACATTTCTGTCATAATTTACTCACGTTGTTCCGAACACGTTGAACACAAAATTTTCCAAGGCTTCCTAAGTCATATTATAGCTATGTATCAGGAACAAACCAAACTGCTAAAACTCCCGCCCTCCAACGTATCTCTCGAATCTCATTTGCATATACCGACCTAGTCAGGTTAGGCGCCATATTGAATTAAATAAGGCTGTGAGGGATAGACTAACGCACTGTATAAAATTCTTAGATCGTAATTTTCACAACTTTCAAAAACTGTTTTGTGGAGTTTTTTCTTCGGAAAGACCTTTCTTCCACTGGACAATCATTATGTTGTTACACAATCCACACAAGCCATTAAAGGGATAGTTCACCCAAAAATGAAAATTCTGTCATAATTTACTTACCCTCATGTCGTTCCAAACCTGTATGAGTTGCTTTCTTATGTTGAACACAAAAGAAGATATTTTGAAGATTGCTGGTAATCAA